GCAAAGCCCTGCAGACACAGAAGTTTGAGGGTATTGGCGATCCTTGGACTTGGAGTGTCTCAATAACATTAGTTTGGGGTGGAAGAAGAAGAGACAGTTTAAATATTACATATTCTCAGGACAGGAAGCAGAGTTCGTTTTAGGAGTACATGGAGGTATACTTAACACCAAGTCAAGAGAGATTAGCAGGGGAGAGTGTCAGAGCAGAGACGCCTGACCCCTGGGTGGAGGCAGGGGCATCTTTGTGGCGATAGAAAGGTGTGTTCTACTGGAAGTGAGAACTGAGGAATGGCTGGAGGAGAGAAAGGGGTGGGTCATGTGGAGGTTGGGTATGCACAAGAGAGAACCATGTGAGCCCAATAATTGCCCATTGGCACAGAGCAGGCCCAATTTTGAGGAAGAGGATGGAGGCTAGAAATGGCTTGAGTCCATCTAGTGATGTTGTTTTCTCAGCAGGCAGTGAAGTGGACCCAAAGCAGGGATGATGGACAAGGATGCTCACACAGGACTTTTGATGTCTTAAGGTTTCCCATGCCTGGATGAAATGGTAAAAGCCAGGACCGTTTTACAACTGAGCTCTGTGACATTAAAACAAAGCCCCCCCGACTCCCATTCTTTTCTTTCGGCGTTCCTTTGTTATTTCAAAGGTGGTTGTTTTGTTTCCACTTTGATATCTCCAGGAGCTATAGGTGAGGTACATGAGGAGAGGAAACCGTGGAATTCCGTTGACGAGAAGGAGGCAGACTCCAGATTCAAAACAAACAAAACATTTGTCGTGATGGCTAAAAATAGGGCCTTGAGCTGGAAAACCATAGATTTTTACAAATGTGTGTGTGCTCTTTTAACTCATCCAACCCAAGCATCCTCCAGCTCACCATAGGACCCCCCAAGGCACTCATGCCGGAGGGTCTGGGGTCTGAGGAGACACAGAGGCGCCTTGGGTCCAGATGGCTCTAAGCAGCCGCCGCGGCAGTGGGGTAAACAAAGGCGCAGCCAGTGCCTACGTGATGCGAGGAAAAGGACTCTGGGTAGTTTGGATTTCCAGCTCTGATTCTGTGCGACTGCCACCAAAAAATTAAGATTTCTCACTTTACATCTCACCAGCCTTCATGGGGCCAGAGCTGGTGCAACATTGCAATCCGTCTCGGGCGGCTTCACCCTCAAAGCAAAACTGCAAAGTCTCATATGGCAACAGAGCCTTGTCGTCACGACTGGCTTTTCTTCTGCTCGTCCCCTTCCTCCCTTCCTGCTCTTCCTTCCTCCTCTTCCTTTCCTGTGTTATAAGCAGAAAAATTATCTGGTTCAATGCAGCCATCAACACGGGATCTAATGAACAGAGTGTGTTCTACTCCTAGACTGTGGTTCAATTTACCGGTGGCACCAATCACGCCAGATTACCAATCATACCAACTGCAGTAAACCCAGATTGTTACCTCTTTTGGGAATCATTGGGGTCTTGGGAAGGAGAAGGGCCAGGAGTGACAGAGGACCAGTGAGCCTAATGAATGCTGCCTTCACTAGCTGGACACAGACGGGCCGAAGCTCCGAGACATCCTGCTGCAGAGGCCTGGAGCTCTCTTCCCACTGAATTCTAGGGAGTCTGGCAGTGAGGGCACACACATTCCTTATAGTTCTAATCTGGACTCGGCTAGGGATTGAGGCTGAGACTTATATGCAAGATAAGGTCCGGGGGTATGAAGTAAGTGGTGTTTCCTCACAGTTCACATACTAAGGTCTTATCTGCTGTCCTTTAGGATGGGGCTGCATTTGAAGATAGGTAGTTGCATATGCACATTGTTGAGATAATTTATATCGGAGCGTGAGCGCCAATGTTCAATGTGACCAGTGTCCTTATTTTATTTATTTATTTATTTTTTTGGTTTTTCAAGACAGGGTTTCTCTGTGTAGCTTTGCGCCTTTCCTGGAACTCACTTGGTAGTCCAGGCTGGCCTCGAACTCACAGAGATCCGCCTGGCTCTGCCTCCCGAGTGCTGGGATTAAAGGCGTGCGCCACCACTGCCCGGCTGACCAGTGTCCTTATTAAGAGAAAAAAATCTGGAAGCTACCCATGTATGTGGGAGAATTCCCACTGGGCTATGCCTGGTCTGGCTCCAGAGTGGTAGCATCTAGCCTTAATCTGTCTCTTGTTTCTCTTGTTACCCTCTATGTGAATCTTGTCTGAGGAGTTTCCCAAGGGTACAAAGTGTATGTAAAACTTGAATGGGAAAAATCCAGCACACTGTGATCGATATTCCTTATTCCAGAATTTGCATTTGGCATTGACCCTTGGGAAGCTTTTTCAGGGTGTTCTTGGGGATATGGAAATCAACTTGCTAAAAGTGTAAATTTAGAGAACAATAAAAATGCCCTTGGCTAAGGGAAGGTGTTTTAGTCCCACAAGAGGCTGAGTCCCCTGCAGCTGGAAAGTTTAAGACATCCTAAAGATGCCTGTGTCCTCATTCCATGCATGGACTGGTATGAGCCCACACCCATAAAATAACCCATGTATATGACAAGTACTCTGTGAATGTGAAGTCAAGGATGCCCACAAGCCAAGAGGCACCACTGCTGACCAACACAGCTCTTAAAACAGGGTTAAGACTGGGTCTGAGCACAGCAGATTCTCCCTAATAGCTCTTTGAAGTCCCCAATTCAGTAGATGGTCTTATCTAGGCCTATTGACCCTCAGAGCTGAGATACAGTAACAGTATAGCTAAGAGATCCCTTGTGGATGCTTGGCATTATAACCCAACTGGATGACACATTCCAGATTCTGTTGGCCCAGCAGCTCTGGGAGCACGATGAACTCATGTGAAGGTTTGGGTGCTCAACTGTGCTTGAGAAACACCAGTCCCAGTCCCACCCTCTTTGGCATTGTAGAGGAATGTTTGTTGTTCCTCCCTGTCCTCAGTCTCTATCCGTAAGTTCATGATTATAATCTGCCCATAGGAAATCTGGGGCTCTTCCCTACTAGAAGGTACCAGATGTCCAAGGCTGGATCCTCACTTCTGGGTCGAGTTTCCCAGGTTGTAATAGACCTTGATGGAAACTAGGACGATTTTAGGATTGTATGGACTCACAGTGGGGTGAGGAGTAAAAGGAATTCATCGGTATGGTAGGTCCTGGATGAGCCAGACTTGAGACACACGGGCCTGGGTAGAGTCTGTGCCTGCTGTGTCTCTATGAGCGTCAAGAATGTCCCATAGCTGGGTGAATCAGGTGGGTATGGTTTGCAGTCAGAGAATCTAACGGTGCCTGCTCATCTGAGGCTCAGTCATTTGTCTGGTTGCTGGCATATGGGAGTGAATTCTCTGTTAATTCCCTGTTATCTGGAGAGCCCCACCCTCCAGGGCATCTCTCTCTCCCTAAGTCCTTATTTCCTGGGCTGGACCCCTCACCATTTAGCCTCAGCCCCCTGGCCGAGATCATTCCCCATGTTTCCCAGCTCCTCCAGCACATCTGCCCCAGCCACGACCGACCCCAGAGGCGTGAGCCAATAGATATCTTGCCATGTCCCTCCCAGCTCTTCTCAGAGGTCAGCCTGCCACAGAGTGGCTGAGGCAGCCCGGAGGCTGCGTTTCTAACAGGCTTCCAGGAGCTGTGGACCTTGTGGAGATCCTACAATGAACAGCAGGCTCTTAGCATTGATGAACATGTTTAATCCCCACAGTAATCACTTACATCCCTATTATACAGAGGGAAAAACTAAGGCACAGTAAGGCCAAGCAGCTTGCTTGGGGCTACAGAGCAAGTGGTGGAGCTGAGATTTGAACTGAGTGAAGTTTGACCATGTGACCGACCCATTGTTCATCACCCTGTGCAGCTGGGTCATCATGACTCCCTCTTCTTTCAAGCCACTAATGAAGGCTCATCAGCCAGACTCCAGCCCCTCAGTGCTCTTACCTGTGAAATGGGTTGAGGCAATACCTGACTCATAGAATCACTCTGAGGCTCAAAAGAGCCATGAGACTTCAACCTTCTCCTCCTCTTTCTTCTTCTCCCTCTTCCTCCCCCTTCCTTCTCTATCTCTTCCTCTTTCCTTTTTGTCCACTTTCTGTTTTTCCTTCCCCTCCTGTTATCTCCCCGATTTTGTGATTAATAATGTGGACTTTAGATCCATCACAGGCATCTGAACTGTCTCTAGCGTTCCTTAGCTGTGTGGTAATTTGGTGTGTATTTTAATTTCCCTCATCTACTAAATTCAGATGTGAAGATCTCCCTCCCCCAGGAGTTGCTTTCTGGCAGGTGAACCAGATTACACACTTAGAGGTCACTGTACAGGTTACTCAGAAGGGGCTAAAGCATTTGTCGTTATTATTGCTGTTCAGTTAGCTCATTCATTTTGGCTACATCCACATACTGTCATTTGGCTAATATGTTGAGCACTCTCGTACACAGTGTTCTATTCAGTCCTTAAGACACTACTGTGGGAAGATGTCATTTCCTGTGTGCAGAGAGAGGACCCCATCACTGAACTGGTATAACTGGCCAGGGCCATGCGGCTCATTACTGGTGGGACAGAGGTGAAATCTATTCATTTACGGGTCAGGCGGTGGTGTGATGGTCAGCTCATACAATTCACCAGCTGCAGACAGAGAAGAGGTCTGGGTACACACACTGAAGGTCTTACTGCCAATCACTTCCTTTCCCCAGGTCTCCCTGTGGTTCCCTGTAACCCACCACCCTCCTTGATCTCTGACTGTGGTCCCTTTTTGACTACTCTGGCTGTGATGGTTATGGGCCATTTCCAGTATCAGTCCCCAATCTCTTTGCAGCTCTGTAGACTTGTCCTTGTCCCCAGAGGTGGGACGTTAGGATCAGAAACAAGAGTGGCTCAACAACCCTCTCTTGATGGAGCTAACTTCCCCTTCATCTCCCGTGGAAACAGAGCTAGGAGCAGTTGACAAAATACTTGACAATATGTCTCATCTCGTGCACTGAGATGACCTGGGGTCATCGTCTAGGGCAGAGTGATGCTTTTCAGAGCCACTTGAAGGGGGTTACCTCTTTACAGGAGCCTCTTCATTATGGAGATAGGTCATGCGGCTCCCTTGAGACTTCATGGGACCTATAGAAGTTATGTGCAAAATGGAAATGGTTTCTGTATTAGTTATTTTTCCGTCTGTGACAACAATACCATGACCAAAAGCAGATTATAGGAGAAAAGGGTGTATTTTTGGCTTGAGTTCCAGGGGATCAAGTCCATTGATAGGGAAGGAGGCATGGAAGTGGGAGGGAGCGTGGGCTAACCTTGAGATGAGGAAGCAAAGCAGGGGTGGGGAGGTAGGAGGTGGGGCAAACCGGCTGTAGAACTTTAAGCTCACCCCCAGTGACAAACTTCTCCAGCAAGGCTCCACCTCCTAAAGGTCCCATAACCTCCCAAACAGTGCCACCAGCTGGGGGTCAGGTGTTTAAAGTGCTTGAGTCTATGGGAGACACTCTCCATTCAAACTGCTACGTTTCATACCAAATGTCCGTGAATGAATGTGTGAAGGATACCGCTGATATCCTTTCCCATAGAAGAGACATCGTCAGCATTAAAAAGCCAGTGTACATGCATACACACACACACACACACACACACACACAC